CTCTCTTACCCCCTTAAAGTCCATGCATTTTGTATAACTGCAGTCAATTCTTCAAGGCCTCACTGAAGTCCTCTGACCAACCTGAGGAGTAACCATACATCAAAGCAGAGGTATTGGGGAGCAGCTGAGCTCTGGCATTCTCACAGACAGGGCTGGGGGTTGTTTCTCCAGGTCTATTGCTTATCTATCATGCACAAATCCTCAGCTCTACCCACAGCTCTGTAAAACCTGTGCTTCGGACCTCATCCGAGGGAGGCAAAGACCAGAGGACCAAAACTCAAAATTGTCCCTGGCTAAGTGAGACTGTCGTAAAACAAAACAACAACAAACAGCTCTCCCCATTTGGGGAAAAACCCCAACCAAATCAGAAAAGAAAACTTTAGATTTCCTTCCTTGGAGCCTATTCCACTTTGGGGAATTATTTTTTCACTTTTCCTTTATCTATGTTAACAAGAACAAAAATCCCAGCTGGGTCACACTGGTTCGAGCCTTTCATCCCAGCACTCAGGAGGCAGAAAGAGACAGATATCTGAGTTCCAGACTGGCCTGAGATACACAGAGATCCTGGCTGGAAAAAAACAAAACAAAACAAAAACATCAACAAAGTATCATAGAGAAACAATAGCAAAGAAAAACAAAATCTAAAGATAACATATGACCCACACCAAAACTAACAAAAACCCCAAGAAGGCTAGGCGGTGGTGATGCACACCTTTAACCCCAGCTTTTGGGAGTCAGAGGCAGGCAGATCTTTGTGAGTTCAAGGCCAGCATGGTCTATTTAATCAGTTCCAGGACAGCCAGGGCTACACAGAGAAACCCTGTCTTGAAAAACCAACATACTGCTGGCTGGGGGTGTTGCATGGTGGGGTGGGGTGCTGCAAGCTTTCATTTATTTATTTTTTAATAATTTACATATTTGTATTTTATGTGCATTGGTGTTTTGCCTGCATGCATGTCTGTGTGAGGGTGTCAGATCCCCTGGTAGCAGGAGTTATAGACAGTTATGAGCTGCCATGTGGGTGCTCAGAATTGAACCCAGGTCTTCTGGAAGATCAGTGACTTAACTATGGAGCCATCTCTCCAGGCGGTGCATTCCTTTAATCCCAGCACTCCAGAGGCAGAGGCAGACACACCTCTGTGAGTTCAAGGCCAACCTGATACACAGAGTGAGTTCCAACCAATCAACCAAACAAAAACCCCAATGAGAAAATGAACAACAGGGAGAGCAGGAGAACCCAAACTAAATCAAAACTGAAACACAAGAGTGAGTTAGCTGGGCTGGGTGGCACTGGTCTCTTATTCCGGTCACTGGCAATGAGAGGAAGGAAGCCAAATACATCCTTGTAATCAGAGATCTGCCTGCCTCTGCCTCCCGAGTGCTGGGATTAAAGGCGTTTGCCACCACAGGCTGGCTGGAGATGTTTAATTGGACACAAGGAGATGTTAAGGTATGGCTGGAATAGTAGGGGTTGAGGGAACAGAACCAAAGCAAAAGGCAGGAGCATATCAGGTTGATGGGGAAGTCCTATGTATATGTCAATAAAGCACTGTTATTGGCCAATAGGGAACCAAGATAGGTGGGACTAGGAGTCCAGGAGGACACTGGGTAGTAGAAACACAGGAAGTCAAGATATAACACCAGGCGGTAGGAAGCCCAGAAACCTCTCCGGTAAGAGAAATACTTAGATTAGCAATTATGGGATAAATACTTAAGTCAGAGATAGCCAGTAAGAAACAAGCAAGGCCAATAGCTTCATAATTAATATTGCCTCCTGTGTGTTTATTTGGGACTGATGCGGCTCTGAAACCAGACTGGCAGGAAGGTTTCCATTTACATAATGGTGATCAGAAGTGGGATCATGAATTTCCACGTAGAATGACAAACGCTCTAAAGCAATTTTAGAAACAGAAGAACGGAGAGAAGCATAGCTTCTTGGTAGCAGAATTTTCTCAGGTGGGCTCTGTTTTGTTAGCGACAAGCAGAGACTCAGGTGGCTTGCTTAAGGGAGTCTTCCTGAGTCAGCACAAAAAAAGAAAACAAGGTTCTTTTAAGAGGCTCTGCTAATGATTGAAATGTGTGCAAGTACAGTTGGAAGTGGCAGTGACCACATCTCTAGGCCAGCAGCTTTTGCTAGATATCAGCATGGACTGAGGCGGTAAACTGGAATCATGCTTACACCTGCCATCTTGGAAAAATGCAATTTAAACAGCTGTGGTTTTAACAGATAAAACACGTGGCCAGAAAAACATAAAGATTTATAGTAAAGCCAGATTGGATGAAGAAAACCTCTAAAGGTTTACAGTGTGTTTAAAATATACGTAAGATTGAGAGAGAAAAAGAAACGGCAAAGTGGTAAATAAGTAGAGAAGCCGGTTGTGGTGGCGCACGCCGGTAGGAATTGCTCCAGAGGCAGAAGCAGGCAGATTTCCAAAGAGAAACCCTGTCTCAGAGAAATAAAGAAATAAAAGTAAAAGAAATAGAGTAATAATAATAGATAAATAAGCCACGTAAAGATGGAAAATACACAGAGAGTCTGGATACTTTAAGCTGTTAGGTTTTTCAGTTTTTTGATTGCTCAGGAAGGAATAACTGCTAAAGTACACTTAATTATAAATGCTGCTGAATTAATTCAACTTCTATCCTTTGAAAATGCCTTGACTTCAAAATTTAAGTATAAGGATATGTTACTTGGGAAAGGAGTTTTTGTTTATGTTTCTACAGAAAATGAAAAGCTGAGGATTCCTTCTAGGCTTCTGTGGTTTGATGAACCCAGACCCCCAGAAGCAATGGCCCAAGTGACTCAACATCTAAAACAGCTAAGATGATACAGCTTTACAGACCAAAAATAAGGACTTTACAGGTTTTTGAGTTTTGTTATGATTCCCATGGTATGAACAGCGCCCCCTTCCAGCAAGAAGCAGTTTGGAATGAGCGACGTCCAAATCTCATATTATTTATAAATCTTTGTTTTCATTTGAATGGGGTTGTTTATAATTGGTTAATGATCATAACCAATCTCTTTTTAAAGGAAAAAGGGGATTATGGTATGGAAATGAATACTTTGTATGGGTATGGTTTTTCATTTATTTATTTATTTAAAATTTTTTTGGTTTTTCATTTATTGATACAAATTCAGGTCAATTTTGTGATGCTTATATTTCTCTTCTTTTTTTTTTTTGGTTTTTCGAGACAGGGTTTCTTTGTGGCTTTGGAGGCTGTCCTGGAACTCACTTGGTAGTCTAGGCTGGCCTCGAACTCACAGAGATCCCCCTGCCTCTGCCTCTCGAGTGCTGGGATTAAAGGCGTGCCCCACCAACGCCCGGCTTATATTTCTCTTCTTGATTAAGTATTGTGCTTATACTGTCTTTTAAAACATAATGCATGATTAAATACAGACTATAGATAGTTACTTATAATAGTCAGAATTTATAGTTAGGTAGGTTAGGTTTTCTAGATATTCAGAAATATATTTGAGATACATAGACAGTCTTCAAACCTTTCAAAGACCTTCAGAAAATGGCATTTAAAATGATTTAGGGTTTTTCTTGACAATGAGAAATGCCTGCTCCTGGCAGCACCAATTACGTCTGAGAGGAAGATGGGCATCGAAGAAACTCGTTATGGAGTTTGCTTTCAACATGGCAAGATTAGCCATTTGGGCAAGAAACTGCTCTTGCCTAGACTGCTTGACTGTTATTGTATAATCTGGACATGCAGGACCCACAGGAAAGTGACTGCTGAACTCAGTCTTACAGGGTTCCTGCTTCATGGAAGAGTCTACGAGACTTTCTGCAGGACACAGAAAAATGTCTGACAGACTGCTAATGCAGATGGACAGTTTGAAATTTCCTGTTTTGCTGAGAAGCCTTCTGGACACATTGTGGCCTTATGGGCTGAAGATGGATGCCCCGACATTACAGAGGAACTTCGGGTAACTGTTCAGGTAGCAAGATGTCTCTGTCAATCCTAGTGTTTATATATTATCCTTCTGTGATCTTTGATGGAGTTGAAGACAGATAGTTATAATATAGTTTTCTTTAGTTATGATAAAAGATAAGCTACATATAGAACTTTGGACTCACAAGGATGGGATGGATGATATTTTCTTTAAATCTTGCTAAAATATCGTAACTGTGTTCTTACTTGATAACTGTTCGGTTATATAATTTGACTATGTTAAAGTTAAGACCTTTCTTTTTGTTTAGACAGAAAAGAGGAGATGATGGGAGAAGTCCTGTGTTTATGTCAATAAAGCACTGTTGTTGGCCAATAGGGAACTAAGATAGGTGGGACTAGGAGTCCAGGAGGACACTGAGAAGGAGAAACACAGGGAGTCAAGATGTAACGCCATGGGGTAGGAAGCCCGGAAACCTCTCAGGTAAGAGACATACTTAGATTAGCAATTATGGGATAAATACTTAAGTCAGAGCTAGCCAGTAAGAAACAAGCAAGGTCAACAGCTTCATAATTAATATAGCCTCCTGTGTGTTTATTTGGGGCTGATGCGGCTCTAGAACCAGGCTGGCGGGAAGGTTTCCCATTACATCAGGTGTGTGTGTGTGTGTGTGTGTGTGTGTATGTGTGTGTGTGTGTATGTGTGTGTGTGTTTGTGAGATTACTTAGAGCAGTGGTTCTCAACCTGTGGATCATGGACCCTTTGGGGTCAAACAGCCCTTTTACAGGGGTTGCCTAAGACCACTGGGAAGCACAGATATTTACATTATGATTCATAACCATAACCAAACTACAGTTATGAAGTAGCAAGGAATATAACTTTATGGCTGTAGGGGGGGAATGCACAAGGGACTGTAGGGTGGCAGGGTTAGCAAGGTTGAGAACCACTGTCTTAAAGGGTCAAGGGCCTCCATTAAGGCCACAGGATTCCCTGGAGCTCTTCCAGAGTCTTGATGACCCTTCCTTTGGGACCTGCTTTTGTAGGAGCACCCCCCAACCCTACTACACTGCTTCTGTGGATCCCCATTCCACACACTACACAGTCCAGGCATCACAACTCTTTATTAGATCCTTCCCAGCAACAGCTTCCCCTCTTCCCCACTGTGCTTTCTAAGTCCCAGGTTCCCACCCAGAACCAAGAGGCACTAACTGTCTTCAATGCCTTCCTCCTGGCAGTCAGGCTTCCATGAGGCACAGTCTTGGCCTTCCTGTTTGCCACAGGGGCTCTGTCACTCCTTGGATTCCGAACGAAGCTTCTCAAAGTGGGTGACACCTGATTCCACCTGATTCAAATCTCCAGGGCCCATGAAAAAGCTGAAGCAGCTGTTGGTGGCGCCTTCACAGATGTGTAACGCTGCAGGCAGCAAAGTCACCATGAGCACAATTGCTGGCTCTGCATGGGCTCCGGGTCCCCTCACCCCCTGCTCACCTTTGGTAACATTGACTTTATTGGCTGCCAAGATGTCTGCCTGAATGCTATCTATTTTTGCATACAAGATCTCCGCATTGCTCTGAGGAGAGAAGCAGGGGGAGCCTGCCTCACACGAGAGCACTGTGCTCCTGGAGTGGGTCTTGAGAGGAAGGTTAACTGCACACAGAGCAGCTGAGGCAGAGAGGTCCTGCTCCCAGTTTAGCAACTAGGGCAGGTGGTAGGGGACGAGAAGACAGTGTGTGTGTGTGTGTGTGTGTGTGTGTGTGTGTGTGTGAGTATGTGTGAGTGTGTGTGTGTGTGTGTGGCCAAGTCAGGAAACTAGATTCCCTCTGTGCACAAGGGTCACCTTTCTGTCCTGGGCCGTTGCTGGGGCTGGTGGGAACGGACATACTTACAAGGAAGAGCTGGTAGAGTTCCTCCCCCATGGACTTGTGGACATGTTCCTCCACCAATGGGAACATTTGCACAAAGAACTGCAGCAGAAGTGAACAGGGCAGCAAGACGGTGTGGGTATCTGCTGACTCGACTGCCCATGCCCTGCAGTCTGCCCACGCCCACCCCAGCCCGAGCACCTCTAGTGTGAGGCTGGCCAGTCTCTGGCTGTTGCTGTGGTCGGTGTTGCCCATGGCTATCATCAGGCTGTGAATCACACGCATGTGCAGCAGCTCCTCGGCCACTGTGAAGTCATCTCGTGCCAGGATCCTTTGAGGAAGGATAAGAAGACAGGGAAAACTGTGGAGACGTGGGAGGGGAAAGGAGTCCCTCACCCCAAGTCTGAAGCCTCCCTCTCTCCAGCTGAGAAAGTAGAATTCCAGCAGAGCTGGGCTTTGTGGCACATGCCTTTTATCCCAGCACTAAGGAGGCAGAGGCAGGTGGATTTCTGTGAGTCCAGGCCAGCCTGTCTATGTAGAGAGTTCCAGGACAGCCTCACCTACTCTCTGTCATAGGGAGACATTACTGCAAAAACAACAAAAAACAAGAAACAAGACAACTTGCTGCAATTCTTCCTTGAGAAGCCTGTTCTTTATGTGGGAATTCATTTCACCAATAGTATTGGGATACAGGACCTAGGATGTGGCTTCTTGTCTGCAAAGATGATCTCTCAAAAGCAGAGAGAGGTCGAGTGCTCTCTTGGCTTGTGAACCTGGTCAGGTAGTGTGAAGCATTCTTTGGCAGTTCCCAGGTCCCTTGGGCAAATGAAAGGACTTTGCAACTGGTTATACCATGTCCTGTATCCGTGAGTCTGTTTTCCCCCAACATCCATATCTAATTATCTTCCTACCTACCTACCTACCTACCTACCTACCTACCTACCTACCTACTGACCCATACACCCATCCATCCATCCATCATCCATCCACCCACCCACCCACCCATCCACCCATCCACCCATCCATGCATCCATCCATCCATCCTGATAGCCGCCTAAATCCAGCCTGGGGCCAGCTCGCTAGGCTTGCCATCGTCTTCGGGCCCCATGTGCCCAAACTCCATCTTTTGAAATTCCCACTTTGTCCAACCCCCAGCATTTCCCTGGCACGCACCCCCAAGCACTCCTTGGGAGCGATGGGCATAGCTTGCCCCTAACCTCTCTCCAACCCCCGCCCCCATTCGCCACAGTCACAAGCATTCCTTTGTCGCATCCATCGCACCCCTTATCGTCGCTCTGTTCGCAACGAACCAAGCGGCTGCTGTACAGCTCAGTGATTGTGGCAAACCGGGTAATCACCTGCTTTGCACGTCTGCCCCTCCCGGCAGGCCTGCTTCACGTCTGCGAGGCCGAGATAGGCTCAGCTGTGCACGCTGAGGCAGGGTCCCGCCACCCTGCTCATGGCTCATAGGGTTCCTCAGCCTCTGATCTGCCTCTGCCCTGACCCATCCTGTCAGTGTAGGAGCAACGGGAAACCCGGGAACCAGGACGTGGTCTACTCAGCTCAAGTTGTTTTTGCTTGGCGTGACCCGTGAATTCTGTGCCTCGAGTACAGACAACTATAGACGACACTTCTCCTGAAGCGATAAGGTTAATTCAGACTGATCAGTAAGTAGATTTACATTCGGAAAAAATCTGTCGTTTGCTCTGCCCCCTGGTGGTCGACTCACATCTTTACAGGGGCAAAAAGGAAGTATTTCCGGTATTTCCGGAGCCCTGAGGGCGGCGACTCAGTCTTATTTACATACCCACAATGCACCGCACAGGGATCATTGCTGAATTTCAATCCAGAACTGATTGTTTCTTTGTCCCAACTTGGTGTCCTTCACCGTCGTACAATTTTCAAATATTTATGTGAGACGTATTTTATTTTGTTTTCAGAAAAAAGTGACCATTCGCTAAGTAGGATTCTTTGCTCACTTGAGAACTACATGGAGTCTCAGCTGAATATATCCTTATACTATCATAAGTAAAATCTCTTTTCCGGAATTTTTGGAGGTCTCACTTAAGAGCCAAACTTTGAGCCAAGTGAGACCATTTTTGTCAAAAATTAGAAATCATGTGTCTTTCACCATCTAGTTTCCGAAAAGTAGATTTTCTTTCTTTTACCGTTGCCGGTTTAGAGTATTTGCAAGTTTTGTGAAAGACTTAACTTAGTGTTTTAAGTCTGAAACAATAGCAGAGAAACTTAGGACGCGTGCTGTACTCAGAAATCAATGTGCGCAGTTATTTCCTCCATCTGTTTGTTTACGCATATGTGTGCTCTCTTTGCATATGCCAGAAGAGGGCATCCGATACCCCTGGAGATGCTGTACTATTTCGGAGGCTTGGCCACAAAAGGTCAGCGGCTTCACACTGGAATGTCTTGCATGATGTTATTGGATGCCCCTTTTTTGTAACCCAGACATCAAGCTATGAGAAGGCAAGGGTCCACATAGAGGAAACATTTTGGGGGGAAGAGGTCGATACAGGGTCCATGTGTAACAGCTCTGGCTGCCCTGGAACTCACTTTGTGGATCAGGCTGCCCTGGAACTTACAGAGAACCACTGGCTTCTGTCTCCCGAGTGCTGGGATTAAAGGCAGGAGCCACCACAGCCTGGCCCTTTATTCCATTTCTTAGTCTGTTTATCTCCTTAACCACAGAATTTAGCTCCATTCCACTTCCAGATGCTCCTTTTCTCTCAAATTGTTCTTATTCATTAGAAATCTTTAGAGGCATGTGCATCATTAGTAACCACATCCCAGAGTCTATAAAAGGCTGCTTTGAGATTTCCTCTGCCAATGCCAGTGGAATTAATCCAAAACCTTTTAATTTTAGCCTCAGGCAAACTCCTTGGACAAGGTCAAAAAGCATACAAATTCTTCACCAGAATACCACAAGGACAATCTCTGACCACATATCAATCTTCTTTGCTGAAACCTCTGACCCAGACATCCACAATTCAAATCATCCTCAGCTCCATTGCCTTCCATGCTCCTACTAGTACGGCCCATTAATCAGTACTTAAATGTTCTGCTGCTTTTCTAATCCACAGTACCAAGGAGTACCTTCCTTCCAACAAAAATATCGTCTGGATTATCACAGCAATTCCCCAGTCCTTGATACCAACTACTGTCTTAGTCACGGTTTCAATTACTGTGAAGAGCACATAGCTATGGAAACTCTTATAAAGGAAAACATTTAGTAGGAGTCTTAGCATTTTGAAGGTTTAGTGCATTACTAACAAGGTGGGGCATGGTGCTGGAGCCGAGAGTCCTATATCTTTCTGGCAATAGTAAGTGAACTGAGACACTGGGAAGTATCTTGAGCATGTATGAGACCTCAGAGCCCACCTCTATAGTGACACACTTCTTCCAACAAGACAACACCTCCTAATAGTGACAGTCATTTTGGGGACCATTTTCTCTCAACTCACGGCGACACCCATATAATAAAACAAAAATGAAAAAACAATCTTAGTTTTTAAATCACATTTTAGTTGTACTGGTTAGTTTTATGTCAACTTGACACAAGCTAGAGTCATCAGAGAGAGGGTAGCCTTAGTTGAGGAAATGCCTCCATAAGAAGCAGCTGTGAGGCATTTTCTGAATTAGTGATCAATAGGGGAAGGCCCAGCCCATTGTGGGTGGCGCCTGCCTTGGACTGGTGGTTCTGGGTTTCATAAGAAAACTGCCCTAGCAGGCCATGAGGAGCAAGCCAGTACCCCTTGGTGGCTCCTGTGTCAGCTCCTGCCTCCATGCTCCTGCGCTGTGTGAGCTCCTGCCCTCACTCCCTTGATGACGGCTGTGATGGGGAACTGTGAGCAAAATAAACCCTTTCCTCCCCAATTGCTTTGGCTATGGTGTTTTTTCACAGCAATAGTCACCCTCACTAAGACACCAGTGTACTAGAAGACACAGGAATATAAAATTATAAGCTCAGAGAGATGAGAACTGTCAGCTAAGCAGCTTTGTCAGCGACTGGAGGTTAACTTCAGTGATAACCCCTCCCTGCTTACAGCTGAAAACTGCCTTCAGTCAAGGTTAACTTCTAAGAAGTTGTTGCTCCATGGCTTTTGGCTTCACATTGTTTTGTATCTTCCTCTGCTATGGGACACCTGCTTTGTCAAGAAAGCTGGGGTTTTTCTAAAGACCCTTGTAAGGGAAAATTGTCAAATGCAATATATGTCTAGCTTACCCTCAAAATCGTAAAAGTTCCTTTGTCCATGGATAGCTTACTTCTTGCTATAAAAAGCAGCCCCGGGGTTGAAGGTATGGCTCAGTAGTTAAGACCACTGGCTGATTTTCTGGAGGACCGGGGTTCAATTCCCAGCACCTACATGGAAGCTCATAACTGTCTGCAACTCCAGTTCCTGGAGATCTTACACCTTCACACCAATAGATATAAAGTAAATTTAAAATAATCATTAAAAAATAAATAAAAAGCAGCCCCAAACTACCCCCACTGCACAGTTTCAGAATCTGAAACTCTGGCTGTGGCCTCAGCTAGCAGATATGCATTTTGTGCCCCTCAGTGTTTTTTTTTTCTTCTTCTGCAATAAAGTTGCCTCTGGTTTCATAGACTTTGGTGATAAGTCTTTCTCTGTTTTGTGGGCCTCTGGACCTAACATGTATCAACTGAGTTGCCTACTTTTTTTTTTTTTGTTTTTGTTTTTGTTTTTGTTTTTCGAGACAGGGTTTCTCTGTATTGTTTTGGAGGCTGTCGGTCCAGCCTGGCCTTGAACTCACAGAGATCCGACTGCCTCTGCCTCCCCAGTGCTGGGATTAAAGGCGTGCGCCACCACTGCCCGGCCGAGTTGCCTGCTTTTATTTTAAAAATTTATGTTTATACTGATCAAAAAAGCTCAGATCAAAAGCACTGATGACAGCATATGCTGGACAGGGTGTAGAATACGGTGAACACTCCTCCATTGCTGGTGGGAGTGCAAACTTGTACAGCTGCTGTGGAAATCATTTTTGCAGTTTTAGAGAAAATTTAGAATCAATCTACCTTAAGACCCTGCAATACCAAATTTGGGCATGTACCCAAAGGATGCACACTCACACCACAAGGACATTTGCTAAAGTATGTTCATAGCAACATTATTTTTGATATCCAAAACTTGGAAACAACCTAGATACCCCTCAACAAAGAATGGATGATTAAAATGTGGCATATTCACACATAGGAGTATTACTCAGGGGTAAGAAACAATGACATCTTTACATTTGCAGGTAAATGGACAGAACTAGGAAAAAAAGACATCTTGAGGAACCCAGATCCAGAAAGACAAATACAATAGGTACTCACTCAGAAATGGATACCAGACATAAAGTAAAGTATAACCAGCCTTCAATTCACAACCCCAGAGAGCTTAAACCCTCTTCCAGAAACTGATGGAAGCACTTGCAGAGACCCACAGTAACCCTTGGGAAGAGCTCCCTAAGTACAATGAAAGTGAGAGGGATAATGAACAAAGGAGTCAAGACCATGATGGGGAAATGCACAGAATCAGCTGACCTGAGTAGTGAGAGGTCACTGACTCCAGACTGACTACTGGGGAACCGGGACTGGAATGTAAATAATAAATAAAAAGGAGGACAACCAAAACGTTATGGTCATCATGTATGTCTGTGTGTGCCTGGCTCCCATGGAACTCAGCAGAGGGTAGGGAGGGTTGTGAGCCACCATGTGGTTTCTGGGAACTGAACCCTACTGTGTCATGTCTCCTAATCTGGTCATGTTTTCCATCTTAGAGTTGTTCTTTCCTTCTGTTGACTATGGTTCTCCTCTCCTTCTTCTAGTTTTGGAGATAATCACACTCTGTATCCCAGGCTAGCATAGACTTTCTATATAGACCACCATGGTGTTGAATTCCTGGCAATCCTCCTGCCTCACTCTCCCGAGTTGCTTTACAGCTTTCCTGTGACTTCCTGGTGCCTTCCAGGAAAACATCAGGGTTACCACCTTATCTCTTCTGGACCTGCTAGTGCCTGGCCTCCACGTCCCAAGGTTGTGATCTCCACTCAGCCCACAGGCCTGTGTCCCGGGGCAAGCACAGCTACTGCTCAGCACATTTGTGACAAGTGAATGATCAAGACAATTGTCAAGGTCTCTGTTTATTTCGGGACAGGCCCTTTGTAACCCTAGCTGGCCTGGAACTCCCTTTGTACAAGAGGTTGGCTCCAGCCAGAGAGATGCACCTGCCCTTGCCCCCCAGCGTAGAGATTAAAGGTGTGGACCACCACAACCCGCTCTCCAATGTTTGGGTCACATCTGTACTGGCTGGTTTTGTGTGTCAACTTGACAAGTTAGAGTCATCAGAAGAAGTTGCCTCGGTTGAGGAAATGCCTGGATGCTACCCAGCTGTAAGGCATTTAATCATTTAGGGATCAATGGGGGAGGAGACAGCTCATGGTGGGTGGTGCCATGTGTGGGCTGTTGCTCCTGGGTTCTGTAAGAAAGCAGACTGAGCAAGCCATGGGAAGCAAACCAGTAAGCAGCACCCTCCATGGCCTCTGCATCATTTCCTGCCTCCTGGATCCTGCTCTGACCTCCCACAGTGATGAACAGCAACGCGGAATGAAGTGTAAGCCAAGTAAACCCTTTCCTCCCCAGTTGCTTTTGGTCATGGAGTTTTGCCACAGCAATAGAAATCTAAGACAGTATCCATCCACCATTGCCTTCTCCAACTTACTACACGTCAATTCCTCCCATAT